TTGTCCATTACACACCACGACAGAACATTTTGGTGCCTCCTGTGAGGTTCACGGAACCCCACATACGAGCTTGGATCTCGCACGAAAGAGTCAGCCATATTCCGAAGACTGACGCTTCTGGACGCTTCTGGATTTCACAGCCATACAAGTGTAAGTTATTCGATTTCTACTCATCACGAAACGAACAACAATGGCTGACAGAATCAAAATCCTCATACAAAAACGAATATCATTAAAGGCACAGGTTACGTATTTGACTAATCTCCTCGATAAAGGTAGAATAGACGAGAGCAACCTGAAATTACGTATCGCTCGTTTGACAGAATTGTTTCACGCGTTCGAGGATTTCAACGACGAACTCGAGGTTCTAGATCCGAATGACGCGCATTGGGTCGAGTTCACGAACATTCAAGAACGATTTTACTCTCTCGCGAGCGATATCGAGACTAGATTGAACGCGGCGAACGCGGCGGATGCAAGCGAACGCATGTCGAATACATCGAATAATGAAACTCGTTCAGACAATGAAGGAATCGTAACGGCTACTAAAAGGAGACGTATTAAGTTACCCGAAGCTCCCCTTCCGACTTTTGACGGTAAATTTGAAAATTGGTTGGCGTTTAAAAACGCGTTTAACTCAATGATAGGTTCGCAAGCGGATTTATCGGAGATCGACAAATTACACTATCTGAAGTCAGCGTTAACGGGCGAAGCTGGCAATAAAATAAAAATCTTTTCGATCGACGGGGTGGATTATAAAAAGGCTTGGGAGTTGTTAGAACGGTCTTATGAAGTGAAACGGGTATTGATTTCGAAACATCTTTCGGCGCTTGTAAACTTACCGACTTTAGACAAAGAGAGTACGATTGGGTTGACGAAACTCGCCGACGACGCTCAACAACACGTCGCGTCATTGCTTACTTTAGGCGTCACAGTCGGTCAAGAAATGGTCGTACATCTTTTAGAGAGTAAATTACCGAGGTCGACGTTAGATAAGTGGGAGATAACGCTTGATAGAGATACGTTTCCGGATCTTGAACAGATGTATGAGTTCATATATAAAACAGCGGTTTGCGCATCGAGACGGGAACGGTCGAAATTGGCAGAGTCGGATAAGTACAAAGGAGAGCCTCCGATTAAAAGAAAAAAAATTGACAACACGAATCGAGCCTTTGTAGCAAAGGTATCACGCGGTTGCATAATATGCAAGAATAAACAACATCCGCTCTACACATGCGACAGATTTAGAAAATTATCTGTACCGGAACGAATTGAAATGATAAAGGACGCGAAACTTTGCTTCAATTGTTTACGTTCCCATCGGGGGATACCGTGTAAATTTTCGAACTGCACAATCTGCCAAAGACGACACAATACCCTACTTCATCTCGATAAACAAGCAATTAAGCCAGACGCTTCGACTTCCACGACTCCTCAGAATAAATGACTAGTTAGCATGACCGATGGGGGGGCAACGAGCCTCGCATCGATATCACCTTTCGCACCACAACTTTTAACGAGTGCATTGGTATATGTCCGCGATCCCAAACACAATAGACGCAATAACTTGAAATGTCGGGCGCTCTTAGACACGGGCGCCACCGCGAATTTTATTTCAGAATCCTTCGTGGAACGTTTAAACATACCAGTAGTTAAACAATCGTTATCTATCGGTGCAATTAACGACACAAGAACTGAATCGAAGGGCATCGTACAAATTACAATACAATCATTACATAGTGAATTCCAAAAAATACTCACATGTTTAACGATACCGACGATTACGGATTTAATACCATCGGATATCTTTCCACGAAATACGTTAGAGTTTCCCTCAGATATCAAGCTAGCGGACCCGGAATTCCACCGGCCGCGACCCGTCGATTTATTGATAGGCTCTGGTGCGACGTTGTCTCTGTTTACCGTCGGTCAAATTGATTTGTCTCGTGAAGGATGTGATTTATACTTGCAAAAAACGCATTTAGGCTGGGTGGTCGCCGGCGGGATATCAATGCAGATACCTTCGAGGAATTCGGTATGCCACTTGACGAGTTTAGAAAATCAATTAGCGAAGTTTTGGAGGATAGAGGAGGTCGTAAAAAATGAAATAAAATCGGAAGAAGAAATCGAGTGTGAATCGTATTTTACGAAAACAGTCTCTCGTAACAAAGATGGACGTTATATAGTCCGTTTACCGTTCCGTCATACTGAAAAACGCCTAGGCGATTCAAGATCAATAGCATTTAAACGTTTGACGGCATTAGAACGGAAATTCAACGCGAATGCGATTTTAAAGGACGAATACACGCGAATAGTCAAGGAGTATTTAGAGTTAGGTCACATGTCACTAGTGGAGGATCCCGGCGACAACGGTTATTATATGCCACATCACGCCGTGGTGAAAGAATCGAGCGAAACCACTAAAGTACGTATAGTGTTCGACGCGTCGGCAAAAACCAACACCGGCGTGTCTTTGAATGATATGTTAATGACAGGCCCATCGATACAAAACAAATTGTTCTCGCATTTAATTCGATTTCGGATCTACAACTTTGTCGTCACCGCTGACATCGAAAAGATGTTTCGCCAAGTATTTGTACATGAGAGCGATCGTCGATATCAGCGGGTTCTTTGGCGTAAAGACAATAAGATACAGACCTTACAGCTCAATACGCTTACTTTCGGTGTCTCTTCATCACCGTTTCTAGCTATTCGCGTCATTCAAAGACTGGCCGAGGATGAACGCCATACATATCCTAGGGCGGCCGACATTATTAAGTCACATTTATACGTGGATGACTTGCTAACCGGTGCCAATACCATAGACGAGGCCCGATTAATTCGAGATGAG